AGTGAGTAAACCAAAATAACAATCTTTTTGAATGCTTCAATAATTACAACTTCTCCAATTGTTTTGTGCATTTTGTTCCAAAATTCCATCTTTAAAGTACCTACATAAACTCAATTAAGCACGATTATATTACAATTTAGCATTAAAATACAAAAATATAAGGTAAGTAATTCACTAAAAATATATAATTATAGCCAAACATCACTTTCACCTAAATCTAAAGAGAAACCAAGCTTGTGCAAGTCATTAGAAAATGCAAGCTTTGTAGTCTCCAAGGTAAAAAATTTCAGAAGAGCTACTTCATTATTTAGTCAACAGAAACAATTTAGTGTAATCAACTTCATCTTAAATGCTAACACTGACTTTTGTTCTTGATCAAAGAAAGCAACTAGAGCATTCATTTCGAGAGTGCCAAACTGCCAACTAGAAACAATGAATTTGTTACAATAAAAATTTGTGATTACAAAATGCAAGAGCCACAGATGACATAAAGAAAGCAAGTGAAAAGAATGCTATGTAAATCTAATCCAATGATACAATAGTATCAATCAAATTTAACATATCTGCCAATTGCACAGGGTAAAGATCCGTAGTCTACATCGGATATAAAAAATTTGAACCGTTAATAACCGAAAAACTAAACTGAAAATAACCGAACCGAACCTTGAAAAAATCGCACCGAACCGTAAATACTTTGGTTTTGCTTGGTTATTAATATTACAAAATCGAAAATCGATAAACAGAACCGTACTTTCATAATAACCGACCGAACCGGCTGACGCTCATCCTTAATTTCTACCATGGAAGAACAAAGAATAGGGCTAGAAATTAATGGGTGATGTTACAAATGGAAGAAAATAAGTTAAAGTGCATAAACCTATGAATTGGTATTGAGTTTTCTCTTCAAGGTCGCCTCTAGGCGAGCTCTAATGGAAGTTTATGAAAAATGGGAGAAATCCCGTTTTGGGACTCGTTTAAATCACTGGCGCTAGGTGTTCATCGTGTTTGCGTGAAACCAGACATGTTCGCGAAGGGCACTGCCCAGATAGCTTATGCGATAGCGAGTTACTCTACGCGTTCGCGTAGTCTTAGCCCCCCCCCCCCCCCCCAGACTTCGCGTTCGCGATCTTGTTCACGCGTTCGCGTAAAGTAAGTCCATTTCCCAGCCCAGCCCATCCAATACTACGCGTTCGCGTTGGTGTGGACGCGTTCGCGAAGGGCAGTCTCCCCACTGCTCCGCATTCGCGTCCTATTCCTCGCATTCACATAGTCCCAACTTACCTTTCGTGATCGCGGTCGTATATTCGCGATCGCGAAGAAGCTTTTACCAGACACCAGCAGAAATGAAAAACCGGCAAATTTCCCAAGTCCGAAAGATCCATAAGCTATCTGAAACTCACCCGAGCCCTCGGGGCTCATAACCAAATATACAGACAAGTCCAAAAACATTATGCAAACTCACTTGTGAGATCAAAATACCAAAATAACACCTAGAACTACGAATCAGACACCAAATTAAATGAAATTTTCAATAAAACTTAAGAACTTCTATTTTAACAACCGGACGTCCGAATTTTGTCAAATCACTTATGTTTTTCACCAAATTTTGCAGAAAAGTCATAATTATAATAATGAACATATACCAAGCTCTGAAACTAAAATCCGGACCCGGTAGTAATAAAGTCAAACCTTGGTTAAATCTTTAAATTCATTAAATCATTAAACTTCAAATTTTCGACAAAATGTGATAACTCGAGTTAGGGACTTCCGAATTCGATTCCGAGCATACGCCCAAGTCTGAAATCATGATACAGACTCACCGGAACTGTCAAAACACGGATCCGGGCCCGTTTGCTCAAAACGTTGATCAAAGTCAACTCAAATGGATTTTTAAGGTAAAATTTCTCATTTTATCAATTTTTTACATAAAAGCTTTTCGGTAAAAAGGCGCGGATTGTGCACGTAAATCGAGGAAGGCTAAAAGAAGCTATTAGAGATTTCGGAACACAGAATTAAAATTTAAAATTCTAGATGACCTATCGGATCATCACATGAATATGATATGTTTTGCCAAATTGTTCTTCTAATTTTGGCAAGTAGTAGCTTTTGGTTTTTAAACTTGTACTCTATGACATATTTCCAAATTTGGCAAGTGGCATTTTCCTTCTTACTTAAAAATTGTCATGACCCGGATTTCACACTCTCGGAAGTCGTGATGGCGCCTACGAATGAGAGTTAGTCAAGCAAATTTTAATTACCTTTCCATTAATAACATAACTCCTTTTAACAATTATCGGCAATAATACAAAAGTAACGAAATTAATTAATAAGCGAAAGTCTCAATATTATAGAGAATTTAATAAAAATGCGGAAAATCCCAACAAAAGCCACCAACCAAGACTGGTGTCACAGTTTCACAGACGGTCTAAGAGTACTACACATAAAGGTCTGAAAGAAATAACTCGACAGTGTCTCTAGAAACACATGAAAGAAACGGAAATATAGATGAAAGGAGATGCCAGGGCCTGCGAACGCCTGCAAGGCTACCTCGGGTCTCGCTGGGCTGAAAGCCTACTCCCACACTACTGCTGCTGCTGCCTGAAGCCTGGATCTGTGCAAAAATAGCACAGAGTGTTTTATCAGCACAACCGACCCATGTGTTGGTAAGTGCCTAGCCTAACCCCGGCGAAGTAGTGACGAGGCTAGGACCAGACCACCAAATAAACGTGTGCAGATATATATATACATGTACAATGGAGACGTAGCAAGAAGATAACAATTTAAGCTGGGGAAGGGAGCATGCTTCAGGGGCAACAGTTAGAAATAGAATTTCAGGAATAATAAAGCGTACATCTACAATTTAACTTCTAGCAGTAAATGAAGAGATAAGGCAACTTTCATATTCCACTCATCTTGTTGCAGGCGTGCAACCCGATCCCATTTCTCAATATCTCTTGGTAGGCGTACCACCCTCTCCCATTTCAATATCACTCGTGGTAGGCGAACCACCCGCTCCCATTTCAATATTACTTGTGGTAGGCATACTACCCACTCCCATTTCAATATATCAACAGTTCCTCCAAAAGAAAATTTACTCTAACAAACGCAACTATGAATACGAGTTCATAAGACAACAAGTATACAAAATTTATGATTCACTAAGGAAAACAAATAATGACAAATAGCAATTTAATTATGGATTATAAGGGGGAAATTAGGCAATTTAGTAATTAATATGTTGAATTTCACGTAGCAATTAAGTCACATAATCATGAAGCAATTAAGGCATAAATTCAAGACATAACGTTGCGCAAGGACACCTTGGTTCAATAATAACAAGTGACACGATAAAGGGAAATGTCAACGTAAAGAATCACAGAAATAATGGAATAAGACAAGTAATGCACTTGAACTAATAACAACAAGAAATCATAGCAAACAGCAATAAGTGCACGGCATCACCTTTCGTGCTTTTACTCTCATCCTCACCAAGCAATGATATAAAATGTGCACGGCATCACCCTTCGTGCTTTTACTCTCTTTCCTCACATATATTCAATAGAATTGGCACGGAATGGTACATCGTGCGGCACGGCATCACCCTTCGTGCTTTACTCTCTTTTCCTCACAATAAGCAAACGGTGCACGGCATCACACTTTGTGCTTTACACTCTTTCCTCACAAGATAACAAACAATGCACGGCATCACCCTTCGTGCTTTACACTCTTTCCTCACAATAAACAAACAATGCACGACATCACCCTTCGTGCTTTACTCTCTTCCTCACCCAAACAACAATCACAAACAAGGGCAAGGGAATAAAAAAAATAATAATAGAAATCCCGGCAAGGGAACACAATAAAACAGTTAAATCCCGGTAAGGGTACAACATCAATAGTCTCAACGTCCCGGTAAGGGAAAATATTCAATAATCAACAACGTCCCGGCAAGGGAGTAGATCAACAACTCTTTCTCTTTCTTTCACTTTCATCACATAGTTCACATTATCACTCGAGCCAATGCACCAAAGATTTACTTACCTCATACACCTTCACAATTTGTATTTCAACTCGAGCCAACGCTCCATGAAGTTTAAAGATCACAATTCCTTTCACAAGCTCTTTACAACATATAGAAGTCATCAATTAAGAATGGAAGGACTCACGGTCATGCTAGATACCAATGTATAGATACCCGTCACCATGCCTATACATCGTACCCGACAATTAGCAACTACCAAATAAGACTCAACTCCTATTCCCTCAAGCTAGGGTTAGACCAAACACTTACCTCGATGCTTTGAATTAAACTCAAGTCTCAATTATGGCTTTTCCCCTCGATTCCGCCACCAATTCGCTCGTATCTAATCACAAATTCTTTAACTACATTAATAAACATAAATGAATCAATTTGAATGCATCAAAATAAATTTCCCAACGTTTTGCCCAAAATTCCAAAATCGCCCCCGGGCCCACGTGATCAAAACCCGAGGTTCGAACCAAAACCCGGTTACCCATTTCCCCACGAACTCAAATATGTAAATTGTTTTGAAATCGGACCTCAAATTGAGGTAAAAATCACAATTTTTAGAAAACCTAGGTTCTACCCAAAACACCCAATTTCACCCATGAAAATCCTTGATTTTAAGTTGAAAACATGTTAAATGATGTTAATGATTGGAGGAAATGAGTAAAAATCAACTTACAAATGATTTGGAAGAAGTCTTGTTCTTGGAAAATCGCCTAAGGAGTTGTGTTTTGAAAATGGGGTGAAAAATGTTTCAAAATTCGACTAAGTATAAAAATATGCAGGTTGCAGATATGGGATTTGCGAACTGGGGTTCGCAAATTGCGAACCCCGGCCTGTTATGGGAATTGCGAGAAAATTGTTCGCATTTGCGAACCCTTTCAAAATCCCAGGATTCGCATTTGCGATCATTTATGTCGCATTTGCGACCTGCCCATTTTCGCATTTGCGAACAAATAGATCGCATTTGCGATCAGGCAGCCAAGTCCCTAGTCTCGCATTTGCGAGAGACCCTCTTCGCAAATGCGAAGTCTGCTGCTCAGAAAAATACCAGAAATTCCAAAGTTAAAAAAAAATGCACCCGTGGCCTATCCAAAACTCATCTGAGCCCTCAGGGCTCCAAACCAAACATACACACAACCTCAGAAATATCCTACGGACTTATTCGTGTTATCAAATCGCTAATATAACATCATATACATCGAGTTAAGCCTCAAAATCCATGATTTCTTCCAAGTTTCACAAAACATCAAATTTTCCATTTCAAGTCCGAAACACGTCAAACGACGTCCGTTTTCAACCAAACTTTACAGAAAGTGCTTAAACCATATATAAGACCTGTACCGGGCGCCGCAACCAAAATACGGGCCCGATACCATCACGTTCTGATCAAATTTCATTTCCAATTTCCTTAATTATTTTCAGAAAATAATTTCACACAAAAATTCATTTCTCGGGCTTGGGACCTCGGAATTCGATTCCGGGCATACTCCCAAGTCCCATATTTTCCTACGGACCCTCCGGGACCGTCAAATCACGGGTCCGGGTCCATTTACCCAAAATATTGACTGAAGTCAAATTTATTCATTTTAATACCAAAATTTAGCATTTTTCTCACAGAATTCATATTTAAGCTTTCCGGCTACGCGCCCGGACTGCGAACGCAAATCGAGGCAACCCTAAATGAGGTTTTCAAGGCCTCGGAAGCACAGAATGAATAAGAAAACAAGTGATGACCCTTTGGGTCGTCACATTTAACTTGCTTCCTCTTTCCTTCACACACACAATCACAGGTACATCCTAAATGTGAGTTCAGGGAATCCAGTTCATCCCAAACCTTTTTCAATTGGGTGAAGTACCCTGCTATGCTGTTGTTTCCTTGTACTGATTTTGCTATTTCCTTCTGTAGGTGATATAATTTGGCCCCATTTGACTGGCCAAATCTGTGTTCAAGGCTACCCCTGAGTTCTTTTGCACTCTTTGAGTAGAGGACACTGTCACCAATGTCCTTAGACAGTGAATTGAGCAACCATGAAGTCACCATGTCATTACACCTGCTCCAAAGTGCATACTCTTTGGAAGTCAGAGATGGTGCAGCACAACTCCCATCTATGAAGCCTAGCTTATTTTTGGTTGAGAGTGCTATAAGCACTGATCTTCTCCATTCGGGAAAACCTCTTCCATCAAATGGTGAGTTGACAATGGTCATACCAGGTGCATCTGAAGAATGTAGAAAATAGGGATGATTTGTGTCATGATTTGGTCCATTGTTAGATGAACCAGAGGCAGCGATAGTGTCTGTTCCAGTCATAATTCAGTGATTGGATTGAATAAGCAAGATATGAAAGAGAGATTGAATGGATCGAGCTAGAGCTCTGATACCATAAAAGAAATATAAATCAGATTTCTGAATTTTCTGTGTATTATTTCATCATCTGTATCAAATATTTATACAAGTAGCTAATCTAACAAGAAGAGAAAAGATTCTAATTATCTGTACACTTGTACAAAATCCTATTGCTAGCTCTGTAACAGAAAATAACCAAAATATTCCTTTACAATGTATTTACATGTGCTGTATATCCTCTTGCTCCAGCTGTCCAGGTTGTGTAATCAAACGGCTGAGATTTATCTTCAGTTTGGACGGTCAAGATCTGTCCACGTTTATAATCAAGAAAAGGGCCCAAATAGTAGAGACAACATAGAGATGTCCAAACTCTATCTATTTGTCTAAAACCCATCTATCTTCTTCTTCTCTTCTGTAAAATAATCGAAATCTCTTCTTTGATATTCTGCACTATTGACATAGAGCTTCCTTTTCTTCTTCAACAGTATGAGATACTATTTACACTGTACGGGCTCATTTGGGATAAGGAATAATTAATTTCGAAATTAAAATTAAGATGAGCTTATCCACATTTATTTTAAAATTAATTATCTCGTATTTTTTTATCCTTATGGAAGGCCGAGATACCAAATGACCCCTGCGAGTTCATGTCGTTAGCTGAGCAGGTGAGAAGTCCAAATATTTGACCCTCTCTCTATATGCACCACGTATATTTTGCTACAGTAATAAGAGGAAAAACCTAGGGTAGTGGTTGTGGTTATAGACAAATTTTTTGATCAAAGCAGCAGATATACAATGGATATTCGACTTTCGTTCAGAAACATTTCTTCTCACGGTTTATGGTCTTGCCCAAGAAAACAAAAGGGTCTCAAACCTTGCTGTTCAGGAAAAGACTCTCAGCAAAATGGCGATTCAAACAACAATAAAAACCCAGGTTGGATATTGCACTTCCGTATCTTTATTTTGACCATTCATTGAAATATGGCTTGACCCATTTTCTTGATGTTGTTGACATATTGTCTAATTTTGGTCCTTTAGTTGTATATCAGTAGCTTTCGACCATTCACTAATATCTGGCTCGACCCTTTTTCTTGTTATAGTTAAAACTGTTACATGATTATAGTTTTTTAGTTGCAATTAAGTAGAAGGGGAGCATTGGAGCAACAGTAAAATTGTCTCCGTGTGACCTATAGGTCAAAGTTTCGAGCCTTGGAAGCAACTACTAATGCTTGTATTCAGAGGCTAAGCCAGGATTTGAAGCTTGTGGGTTTGGGATTCTAGTTTGTTTATGTTACTTGGTTCTAAATTAACAATTTATATATATTCAATGAATTTTTTAAGACAAGATTTGGACCAAAGTTACTGAGTTCAGCCGAATCCGCAGATCCTGTGCTAGCTCCGCCTCTGCTTGCATTAGGGTAAACTGTCTACATCACGCCCCTTGGGGTAAGGCCCTTCCCCGGACCCTGCGTGAATGCGGGATGCCTTGTGCACCGAGCTGCCCTTTTTATTTTCTTCAGTAACTTTCGATCCTTTCCTTGCTATGGTTGAAAGTATTGCCAAATCATTTTCCTTTAGTTGCTGTAGTAATGAACTGAAAGCTAAATTTATAAGCAACAAGCGGTGCTGGTGGTGATGAACTGCTAATTAGCTTATCTATGGTTTAGGATACACTTAAAAGATGCAAGCTTTACCATCCACTACATGGATTCAAAGATGGAGCCAGGATTTCAACCTTACGGGTTCTAGATTTTAGAACAACGACTTCAAGTATTAGTGAATAGGTTCTAAATTTAATATTTGTACGTATTTTATGAATTCTAAACACCAAAGACATTGATTAAGCAAAAGTTACTAGGTTCGGCCGAACCGGCCGAACCTGTAGTTCGGCTCGTGCCTCCGCCCCTGTATGGATTATAGTGCAAGTTTTGCAGGGTATGACTAATACAGGCGAATCCGAAATAGTGGGTTCATCATATGTTGGATCTGCCTCTGATTACTCAGGAAGGAGTATTTGCCACTTCGTACTATTGGGGAAGTGTGTAATACTAGAATTACTATCTTCTGCACAACTGGAATGCAGGATAATCGGCTCGACCCGTTTCTTGCTATGGTGGAAACTGTTGCGAAATCATTGTCTTGTAGTTGTTGTAGTAAAGAACTGAAAAGCTAAGTCTAAGCAACAAATGGTGGTGATGAACTGCGAGTTAGCTTATCTAGTGCTTAGGATGCATTAAAAGATGCAAGAATTACCATTAACTACATGTTATTATAGTGCAAGCCTTGCAGGTCATATTTATAGAGGCGAATCCATTATTTAAAGTTATTTAGAGGATGCACCGCGTTATCTCACGGACAATAGGTTCATGATATGCTAGATTCGTTTCTGATTAGGAAGGAGTGTTTGTAATTTTGTACTATAGGGGAAGTGTGTAATACTAGAATTACTATCTGCCACATAAATGGAATGCAGGGTAAGGCTGCTGTGGTCGTAAGGATTTAACCACTGCTGATTTTAAAAGAGAAATTTTTGCTTTTTACAATCACTAGGTGTAAATTTATTTGGGGAGATCTTTACTGGTTCAGCGACCCAAAAAAGAACAAGAAAGAAAGAGGATTAGGTGCCAATTTTGTTTAGGTACTTCTTCGAAAACTACTTGGCATTGTGTTGAATAAATCTACCTCTGACTTTTACTCTTGTGAATTAGATGGGAAAGAGTTTCAGAACCCTTTCTTCTCAGACGGGGTTGAAGTCATGTTCCCATTATCAGGCAACATATATATGGGAGAGATAGCCACATCACCTAGGAAGAGTCAGCTTCTTAATCTATTCTTGCTTTTGCTTTTCTAGCATCCCTCATTCCTTGAGGATGACTCTGTTTGAGGATCGAGAAACAACAACAACAATCCAGTAGAATCCCACTAGTGAGGTCTAAGGAGGGTAGAGTGTACGTAGACCTCTAGAAAAAATAGACAGCTCTGCGATAGAGCTACGGATGATGGAAGTTTGGTGGTTTTAGGGATACTAGGAGTATTATGCTTAGGCTTCAAAGCAAGGACTCTATGTTGATGTGTTAAAGAAATTGGATCTGAAACTTGATTAAGGAGGTGGCAAATAGAAAAAGAGGAGGATAAAGGGAATATGAAAGAAGAGAAAAGATCTCCATGGATTTCATCAAGAAATTCTTGGGAGCTCAAGCAACTGCTTCATATATACTGAAGCTTAGAAAATATCAACCTTACACAAAATAACTGTCTTATATTCTCACAATGTGTCTTTACACGAGCGGCACAAGTCCAAGTTGTAATTTCCACTTCTTCTAGCACTTCTGTTCTACGTTCTCCAAGCAAGGTGGTGATGAGTTCCTATCCACCTCCTCAATTAGATAGCAGTGGCATTTGCTACACATGCTTTATACCTAGTATCATTGTTGAGATTAACTATTATTAGAGCAACTCTCTAGAATACAAAATACACCGCCAAATGCATACTGAGAAATTATCTGGATCAGTTGAATCGACTACTCGAGCACCTCAATTAACAGCTTCACTACCTGTGTAAGAACAGCTGCAAACTCAAAATATACAAATGCTCATGAACTTACTAGGACGGTGGACTAAAGGTTCCTGTGGTATAAAGTTTTGAGACTACTTAAAAGGGACAGTAACCTCAAATTTATGCCAGGTATTATAGAATGGGAAAAAAAAGGAGCTCGACTTCCTTATGTTGGTTGAGTCTGAATGTTAGCTCGTTCTTAAAGAAAATGTGATGACACCAAGGTTTTTCAACTGAATAATTTGATTCCCTTTGATAAACCATTCATTGTTATCAGATCCATTATCATACTTTACATCATATTGATTTAAATGAATACTTTGCAGCAAGCCCACAGTTTGCTAGTTATTGGTCTCTCTCCGAAAGAAACTATATCATCTGAATAAGGCACTAATTTATGTCTATGGCATGCCAGCACAATTCTCAGCAATACTGCCAACTTAGATATTGGGCTTCAAGTCCATTTATGGAGACAGGAAACCAAAACACCCGAACTCTTACAGTTATAATAAGTTCGTATTATGTGTACTCTGTGGGAGCCAAAGCTCTTGACATATGGTGGTCCTGTCCAGTCTGTCACCTCAATTAGAACAATTAGCATTTATTCTGATGAATCATATCAGCATTATTGATTATCAAGGGACAAATCTCTTTTCCGAACACATTCCCAAAAGTGTGTATTGCTTTTAAGACACCATGGGAGTAACTGCTTGTAGTTTGTTAAGATTGATAATAATCCATTGAAGTCACTGCTTATCTTTTTTTCACATTGATGAATGAATTGTTAGGGATATATTAGATATGCCCTAGATCCAATCTCATGTTTGATGATTTGAACATATTTTGTGAATGTTATTTGATATAAAAATATATGGAGATTGTTAGGGATATATTAGATATGCCTAGATCCAATCTCATATTTGAGTTATATATATATATATATATATATATATATATATATATATTGCTTCACCAACTCTTTCCCTTAAAGCTAAGGAAAAGGATGAGGCTGTGACCGAATGTGAAAACCAATTCACATAATTCAACCTTTTAATTCTTTACAATTATATTTATATTGTAAAGTTACAATCACATTTTATATATGAATGACAGTGGCCGCCTACTTCAAGGACTTTTTTTTTCTATGTCCTTTTATGGACTTTCCTTATATAGACATGAAGTGAAAACATTTTTCTAATAGGGCAAGTAAAAGATGGCGGCTTCAAAGATGACGACTTCCTTTTTTCCTTTCAAAGTCCATTCCAAATTGGACTTCAGATAATCCTCTTTTTTTTTTTTGAAAAATTCAAGTTACTAATCCAATTCAAACTTGGATTCTAACTTAGAAATATTTTCCTATTATAAAATTCAAATCCCATCCCAATGGGTTGAATTTGCCGAAATCTTTAGGAATTCATTTCCTAATTGAATTTCACAGTCAAGTCTTTAATAATA